TAGCTGTTCCGTCGCCGAAAGATATATGTCAGGAGTGAGACGAGTATGCGGTTTCTGAAGAACTGGCTTGCAACTCGAGGTACCGTATGTCAGCGGAATCATACAAACACCCGAAATCATTCCAGACTGTCTGTAGAATCGTGGGCGGCGAAAGCCACCGCTCCGACACTAGTTCCCAAGTCACCGATTGTTCCTTTACTTCCATGAATCACCTGCTTCTTCGCCTGGGAACGGATATTCGTGATCACTCGGCAAGCCAGCATTGCGTGGATAACGCGTTCTAACCTACGGTCAGTAGGATGAACCTGTAAGTTCGATCATGGTAGTGGACTGAGCACTTACAGACTGAGCAAGCCAACAAGGTCAGGCTGTAGAACAAGTTGGCTTCTACACGATGCATAAAGGTAAAGAGAGACAACGTACTGCAAGACTGCTTATCGCAATCACGTTCGTAATGTTCAAGACTGAGGGATGATCAGCGCTCTGTATCGAGGGAAGGGAACGAGTTGTACCGGAGAGATAGAGATAGTAGATGACGCCTGGAGCGCTTTGTTATCAGTTGCGGCTCTCATTAATGATAGGCGGAGACATGCCATCCTTCAAGATAACGTTCAATAGCTGTGACGAACCGATTTCTCGTGCCTCACGAACTATCCCACTGGTCATCAATCGAACACAATACCAACAAGAGAACTTACATTGCTGGTAGGATTTAACTACCATGAGTAGTAGCATGACTGGAGCGGGTGAGTATAGAGTGGCAGTATTCGGTACAGCGGTGATACTTGCCTGCTTCATATATCATCCAAGGTTATAAAGTCCCACCGATAAATCGGCTTGGCGGCAGAGATAAAGCAGCCTTTAGGATCCGGAAGCGGGAGGATTGAGACTTGGAAAACCCGTTAGTAACTTCTCTTGACCAACATTCGTCACTCACATTGCAGGGAGTTCTGGAAGATACCCATTACTGTGAAGACAACGACGGAGTACGCGAAAAAAAGAGCCGGCATGCAAACTGTGAGAAAGCGATGCCGATTCCAGACGGCCCAAGTTCGAAGTGTGAGTATGACTACTCGAATAATGAGATCATAGAGATGCCGAGAGTACGAGTGTGCTTACCTTCAGCTAGCACAACGCCTGCAGCGGCCATCCCTGATGTTACTGTAAATATCAGCAACATCAAACAATCGTGATGACACACATCCATTCATCCTGTATATGAGTAGGCAGTTCTCTGCACTCATATTTGGTGTAACTTGCTCCAGATTATTAGATGACACACACATTCGATGACTTGAGAAAGCGTACACCACAGGAACAGAACCACATTTACAAAGGGGGAATACCGTGTGATGAGGTAGAGCAGCTTGGTGATAGTCCATTCAGAACCCCATATAAGGTCCACCTCCTGCTCCAGTGTCAAGAGGTAGTCGAACACCTGAATTGACCTCGAGTTAGGTGCCCCGATACAGCCAGTGTGAAGAATGGGGCATACGTAGAGTGCGGTAGCCGAAACTGTGTCATAGATTAACTAGCTGGCAAGCATTTCCGTATCTTGTGGGATCGTACCATCAAAGTACTACAGTCGTTCTGTTAGCACAGGGAAGTTCTGAGAGATCGAAAAGTATTCACAGTGGAAAGTTGCAGGTGCTGCAGCGCCTCAAAGAGTGCAAGCGATTGGGCTTGGGACTGGGCATCCATCGAGGATGTGAATGTTTGATGGGCAACGAACACTGAGCCGTTCCTTTAAGGTGCAGACGGTGCATTCGGGCTGTGTACTGTGCCGTTCCATATCTGTGGATCAGAGAAGCTAGGACGTTGATGTATGAGCATGTGAGGAGATGGGGAAGCGCTAACCGTGTCCGAATGACGATGGGACGTTTCGATACCAATGCGATCACATATATCAACATACGGTAACGTTAATTCGGAAATAAGACCGCAAGAAAAAGAACGGACAAGAAGTCACAAGACGGAAAAGATGTCGGCTTGCAAGAGCAAGACCGAAAAGATTCGAGCCGCAAGACCAAGACTGAAAAGACGCCTTTGCTGTTTACCTGACGTCGAATACAGTCCATGTAGCCACCACCATCTGTGAGGGCATTCAATCTGATCAATCGGGATACACCAATAGAAAGCATTCTGAACCGCCTGATTGCCGCCGCAGTGTGAGGGAACATATCAAAGAGCGATGGCAGAAATCGCCTTGCATTCAGACATGATTAGCACAACACTGAGATTACCGAACGGCAAGTAGATGACTGCGGTTTCATCAGGTGCAATGGGGCGCTTCCTGCGGGAGGCCATTCAGTAATTTGGATAGAGAAGGTGGATTCCAAGGCCGTATGTGACCGTACCGCATATACAGAGGAAAAGACATCCACCAAAGAATTCTGCAAGCAGCGGAGGATGGCGAATGGATCAGGCGACAAATCCCGGACCGCCGCCCACCTTATGCGCACCCAGATGAGATGATTCCTCCGCGCGCGCTTAGCTAGAGAGAGCGCAATACCGGCTTCGTGTTATGCCAATGATTGGTGACGGCCAGAAGCAAAAGACTGTACGCCCCTATTCGCCTACTGATCGAATCACATGATTGGACGTACCTGTCGGCTTAATCGCCGCCCGCGTTCCACCAACTCCTTGCAGACGGACAACGAAGCGTCGCACTACGGAGCATTTTATGTTTCTGACCAAAAGTGCAATATGTCGATGTACAAAGTCCTCTCCTCCATTCCTGTCCCCACCGCGGCACACTTCCTTGTACATACTGATGCGCGGTACAAAGGTATCCTCCTCGCACATCAGTTCGGTAGAATTACTCAACGTTGATTCAAGGCCCGGAAGTCTCGTACAGCATAGCCGACCATGTCCGTGACATCAAACGCACGACCACAAAGACTATCTTCTTTCCAGTTCGGACAAAGGTACTCTGTTCTCTATGGCAGGACAGGACATATCCGCTTCTGGGATCGTGAAATCTGCCTGGTCGCCCTCTACCAAGTACAAGCGGTCCTCCGTAATCTCCATGGCGGCAAGAAACGATTCGTAGAGATACGGGGGCGAGATGGCGTCTTGATCCTAACCAAGGATGTCACCGATGATCATGGAGAATTCTATGCTGATGGTGCGCGCTTTCAGGATTTCCTCGCAACTTTTCTCATATGCCACTAGAGTATTTTGGATCCCTTTCGTTCTCTTCATCCGAAAATGCCATCGTGCTAAGCGGGCGTGATATTGAACCAACTACACCATGGCGCTGAAATTCTTTACAGGATGGTCTGCGCTTTAAGTAGGAAGAATGAACCCTCGATAGCTTTGACGGGAATCGTGCGAACAGCGGAACGTCAACTGCGACCCGAAGGTTCAGACGCGGTTCCAGTTAATCCAGTCCAAGCTGAAAAGCTTGCGCGAACTCGCTGATAAAAACTCGGGCCAGCAATTCTTCGTGTGAAAAGATACTCGATACTCGATACCAATCTGACGAGCCCCAAGGACGACGAGAGTAGCATAAATCGCATCATGGTAGTAAGTAGCCGTCCTCCAAGTACGTCTTCTCTTCGTGAAATGTGTGACAACTTGAACTGTAATCGATTATCAAACCAGAATACTTACTTGCGGGGATGGTAAAATCGACTCAGACTAAGAAATCCCCTCCGTCTGTCTACAGCCGGCGTTGAATGCTACCCCGCCTCCGAGTCACCAAGACCTTGGCCTGCTTAAACCACCAATCCAAGCTGCGGACCATACGGTTGTCGAGGATCAAAGTTGCCGGGGTGATTGAGAACTCACGATAAAAAAAGAGAGCCAATTAAGTAGTAAGTATATTATTCAAGAGCAAAAAGCACCTTTTGCCCAGAACTGCCATAATCCCAGGCTCCGAAGGCGTTTATCACGAAAGTTGCCGTTGCCGACACGGTCGTGCGTGAGGGTGAGAAGGCGGGATTTGGCTGAGTGATCGAAGACTTCTTCCTCCCACCATCATGTCGCGTCGATGATTTCATGACCGAAATATCATAGGGGCGTCGCGCAGTACTAGTCAGTTTGAAGGAAGAGTGAGAGATGGTAAGGTTTACTATCTAGAGTCGTCGGAGGACAACTAATCTCATAAGCTCCATAGCTTCTCCGTTGCCGCGTATCCGAGTCGGGCTTCGAGACTTCAATTGGCTTCGTCGTTCGGTACTCCGTTCACGGTTAAGAAGGGAGTTGTACTATGTCGGGGCTAAGACGATGATGTTCTGAGGATAATAGTGTTTATGTCTTCAATTGGGTCGCAAGTTCTCTATGTGTTCGATGCTCCGGAAGAGAACTTTTGCTCTTCTGACTCACTCAGTAATTGCCCAGTCGATGGAGAAACCATCTCAAAGATATCCAAAGGCTTGATGGTATTGGTTGGCATTGGCTCAGGTATGACCTCTGAGGATCCTGATCTAGGAGGCTCAGAATTTTACAGACGACACGACCAGTGATGCTTCTATCATCGTTAAGAAAATGTCCCTCCGCCTTACATCTCACCACTAGTATGCCTCTTACTACCACGCCCTCAGCTTGGCCATTCGCGTCTTTTCCGATGTAGACGAACCTCGCAAGATGTGGAAGACAAACGTCAAAGATGAGTATTGACGTGCGTGGTATGGTCCCGTCAGATGTGCCACATCTCATTGGAGATATTGGGAATTGAACTAATGCCTCCCGCACTGTGATAACCGAACTACACAAAGGAAGCGCGGTCAAACGACATCCATTATTCGAATCGACAATCCTTCCACCACTTCGTATCCGCACCTGCAAATTGTAACCATCTGGGCTCCTCGTACAACTTCATCTCAATCGTACGATTGTTATTCATCTCTGCCCGCCAAAGGAGCGTTTGTTGCATGCAGGTACGAATTCGAAGGAACTGGCCAAAAAATTCGAGAAGCGACTCTTGAGACTGGGAGCCAACTGGGAGCAATGGATTTGTAGTGTGGCGTCAAAGTACCGGTCGACGTATACCGCATGGCCGCCTGGCGAAATGGCATCGCGTCTGACTACGAGCGTTTAGATTGCAAGTTCGATCCTTGCGGTGGTCGTGGTCGTAGATATCCCATCTGTTCTTTTTACGGCGTATGAATTTCAGTAGACTTGGAAGTTGGCTAGTGGCCACTCTGCGTATGCTAAAAGCTTGGAATGAGTAACAAGTAGAGCATCGAGTGGAAAGCTATACACCCATTAGATCTTGACAGAGACTGTAAACAGTCCCTTGGCATTGCCGATGGTGGCGTCTCAATCACCAAGCTCGCCCTCAGATACGTGCAAGGCCAAGTCATCGAGAGCATCCTCTTAGTATATTTTTCTGTTGCGCGACGAGCGTCGCGGTGATGTGCCTTCCATTTGGAGGAAAGGAGGTGATGACACTATTGGCCAGTGACAGAGTAAATATCGTTAAGAGAGGACTCCTAATGAAGCCAATGACAATCAATTACTGTATGTATACAAGATATCAGGACGCTAAATATACAAAGATAGTATGTAACTGTCAATTATCGAATAGGATCAGGCGAAGAACGATAGTGCACCGGCGGAGCTTCCTGAATACCGCCTTGTCCTTCCCCCTGCCGCCACACATCCTCAAGTGAGCCTGGATCTGGCCGTACAACGGTTCCATCCATCTCGAACTGCTCACCAGGCATTGGTTCATCCGTGTACCGCCGTACCATCCCAGGACGTCCGCTACTACTGCCCAAATTGGTGTGATCCTGTGAAGAACTATAGTCGTGATGCAATGGTAGAGCATCCTCGGCTCGCGTTTGATACGAGGCGAGTAGGGACGGTGAGACAACTCTGAAGAAAGACTTGGGTAGTATTGGCGGTACGCAAAAAAGGACATGACCGTCCCAGAAGAGAGCCGACCAAGATATCGTGCCAGTGGTCTTGGAGATTTGTTAAGATCGTTGTTATAGAGAAGGGGGATCCAGTCACGTACGGCGGTAATCCATGCTGCGCGAGATTGCAACTAATGCAGCAGCGGCGAACGGTGACAATGATATCCAGGCTTTACCCTGACCGGATTTCAGTTCCAAGTTTCCCAGCGCGTCAAATTTTATCTCACCGTATGTCCACGTTTATCAAAGAGATGCAATTTGCCAGCCATGTAGAACGCTAGGAACCCGAGGCCTGCGAAGGACACTAATACTCGGTCAGATATAGCCACGCGGCGCATGAGAGCCATGGACGTACTGCTTGAATGGCCGGAGGGGAAACTTCTGAAACCATCGCGGAGTAATGCGTTGTCCTCTTGCGTACAGATTGTCCAGTTTGACAAACCAAAGACTGGGTCTATAGCTCCCACGGGCGGTTGACAGCGGTCGACGATATCTAATTGTCCCGTTACCGCATACTCACATGGTGAATAAATCAATGCGTACCAGGTCGAGGACGACCAACGGTAATCTTCGTGAATTGGGTTATAGAACCTGTAAGCGCCAATCCGAGAATTACTGTATAGCTGTTAATTAGAATTGGCATGAGCTGTACCAGAGCGATGCTCACACCCAAGCGTGCCTACAGAGAATAAGTACTACAACGTGTGGCAAAAGTCACACACACCATTATGAAGATCCCACCACGACCGAATGGTAATGAGATTGACGATGGGTTGGATGACGAGGGGAGCGACGAAACATATCATGTAAAGAGCAATATTCTGCGGATGCGAGGATTGAGAAGGACGGCGCACAACACGTTGGGGGACGCACAGGGATACGCTCATGCACGGCGTAACTGGACATGATGGAATCAAGTTCTGCGAGACGAATGAACACTGAACAAGCTCACGGATGGCGAAGACTGGCTTGGAATGAGCTTCACGAATGTAAGGATAGCCTTGACGACGTACGATGTATCTTCCAAAGAGAATACGCGGCGGTACCCTTCCACCTTGTCCAGAGAGAAGAAAATGAGTCTGAGAACGATAATTGAGCGGAAACTCGGATGAAGGATCGCTCGAATTCATACGCCAAAACAATCGTTAGAATCCTGAATCAGGTGAGAACAGTCGTGTGAGCAACCGCAACCGCACGCACCAGTCAGGAGCATAGGAGAATATCAGTTTGCGCCGTCTTACGGCGGACATTTGGGGTTTGGGACGGGAACTGTTGAAGGAGGGCATGGGAGTCTGCTGAGAGGGTTCGGGCAGTCGAGCGTATGACATGAATGAGAATAGCGCAGCAGCAGCAGCCCGATTTGGACCAGGACTTTACTCGGCTATCAATGCGCTCGTCTCCGCAGAGAAGAGGAGAGGAGAGGAGAAGGAGATCTGGTGAGGAGAGAGGACTGGCCAGGGTTTGGGAACAAGATGGTATTGTGGGAAACCGGTTCTCGGGTGCCCGAAGGGGGACAACCCCAGCTAACTACGGTGGTATGTAATGAAATCTGTAGGTAATGTAATGCAGGAGTAGTATGAAAATGTTTAGAGGAGGCGGGTGGGGAAATTGAAGTACACGAGGACACGGAACTGCGAGCAGTGAGCGAAGAGACTGTGATACTGTAACGGTACGTACCTGCGAGCAGTGAGCGAAGAGACGAAGCTCGTTCACTGCCCGCAGGGAATATATATACGAGGAAACAAAGGAGAAAGAAGACAAAGAGCAAACGCAAGCGCGAACGCGTCGATCGGCGCATTGACCCTGAACAAGCCTCCGCTTGTTCACCTCATCAATGCGCTCGTCTCCGCAGAGAAGAGGAGAGGAGAGGAGAAGGAGATCTGGTGAGGAGAGAGGACTGGCCAGGGTTTGGGAACAAGATGGTATTGTGGGAAACCGGTTCTCGGGTGCCCGAAGGGGGACAACCCCAGCCAAGATGAGCAGACTCAGAGTACCGGAGGGATGTAAGAGGCTGATGGGGAATGGGCCCAATGAAGGGAGTTTGAGATGTACAGGAGTCTAGTTGGCTCGACCTCGATGTAGAGTTTATAGGAATCACTCCTCCAGCGCCCGAGGAGCTGGATTTCATAATCTGAGCATCCGGCTGCAGCGGCTGAGGAGGCACCACCTCGTCTGAAGCTGTGACCCGCGAATGGATCTGGATCGTATCCAGCGGCAGCAAGTGCGGAGCGAACCCTTGTGATGAAGAAAGTCCTTGTGATTGGCTTTGATGGGTCATCTGGACTGGGAAAGAGGGGTACATCGGGGTTTCCTGTAAACTTGTCACCCCACAGCTGTTTGAGAGCTGCGACGGGGCAAGTTGACTTTCCCGGAGCTGCTGCAAGTTTGACGGTGACTCCTTTGCGAAATGGGTCAGTTTTTGAGGCGGGGATGAAGATGTTAACGGATGTGGCGTGCTCGTAGGATGGGAAGAATTGTGCCGAGGCCTGGGAGAGCTGAGTCGCGGGATTGAAAGCAGCTGAGCCGGACTTTGCGGTGAACTCGCCGCAACGAAGGAGGCCTGCGAACGCGACACAGGATGCTGCGTAGATGACGTTGTCGCCAGGTCGAGCCTCGGGTTTGAGCTGTGCGAGAAGACCTTGCAGGATAGGGAGAGTGATGGGTTGTTTGGGTTTTCTGTCGCGCTCGCCGTGATAACGCTTGATGCCACGGATGAGGCGCTGAACGAGAGGGGAGTCAACTGCTGTGAAAGGAAGGTCGAGGTCTGTATGCATGGACTTAACGTGGGTGATGTATGCTTTGATTGTCTTGGGCTGAACACGGGGGCCGAGGGACGCAACCCACTGCATGATGGCGCCTTGAGATGCGGGAATAATGGATCCATCACTGTTGTAGAGGTTGTGGAGTTGAACGAATTCAATGAACGAACGTTGACCGGTGGAGTATGTTGTGCGGGTGCTGGATGCGAGTCCGTGCCAAAGGTAGAATGCCACGGGCGCGGTAAGGTGTGCATGTCGCTGATACCACCAGTTTGGAGGCGCTTGGAGGAGGGCTTTAGGTCGAGATGCGGGGCCAATTGAAATAGACGTGTATATGAAAAACGAGAAGCGCGTCAGCAAGTGCATTATCAGAAGAAGATAACCAAACGGATGAAAAAGTGAAGTCGAGGCGGCATGCTAAATTCAGGAATTGGCGAAGGTAACGAAGTGTGGAGTCAGATCGGATGGAGTGATTGCTCAGCGCTCGGAAAACGGCTTCATTGTCAATATGAAAGATGAATGTGTTTGCCGCGGATGTCTTCGCCCCAGCAAAGAACAGCATAGAGCACTGCAAACATTTCCTTCACCTGAATGTGAAGGTGACGAATGCGACGTGGGGTTTCGCGCAGCGAACCAGCGTGAACCAAAGACTCCACCAAGACCTTTGGTACCAGCTGCGTCTGTGTAGATGTGGATGACTTCTCGTTCAGGAGTGAGAAGATGCACTCCATTCCACTTGCAACGCGACCTTGAGCCACCACTCAATATCAGCGCGAACAGGACGAGGAATGCGGCGACGGGAGTATGCAGAGCGAAACATCGAGGCGAAGCGTGCATAGAGCGAATAAACGCCCGAGAGTAGGGAATGACTTGCGAACAGAACTGAAGGTAGCCTGTCAGTTCGTCCAGATCGCGAAGAGTGCAATCCGATGCAACTTTCCAAGACAGAAGCAGCTCACGAAGGTAGGTGAGCTTCTCGTCGGGAAGGCGTGCCTCCATCCTCAATGAATCGAGAATGATGCCGAGATAGGCCATGACTTCTGAGGGTCCCTCAACCTTCGAAGGCTGGAAGTGAAGACCAAGCTGCTTGCCGAGAGCAAGCATCCACTCAAGAGCTTGCGAGACAATCTCTGTTGGTTGGCTCGGTGCAAATATAGCAAGGAAATCATCGAGATAATGACGAATGCGGGCTGGGATGTGGCGTTGGATAATCCAATGCAGAGCTTCAGCGAAGAGGTTGAAGATGTAGGGCGCTGAGCGGACACCGAAGCATAGAACCAACTCGTAATAGAATTTCTCGCCCATGTGAAGCCGAGAAGTGGCCAGTCATCCGGTCTGACCGGGATGTGACGAAACGCCTGCTCCAAATCGAGCTTAATCATGAGAGAACCTGGCCCGGAGGCTATCAGGTCCCTCGCCGCGGTGCTGAACGCGTCGTAGCTGATTGTT